AATTCTACTGAGTACCTTTCGATCGTTTTGGAGAAAGGTTTGAAACCTCATCACAAAACGCTAGCGACTCTTCCTAAATTATAGACAGCTCTATCCGATGTTTGGCAAGCCATTCCCGTAGAATGCTTCCAGAAACTTGTTGAATCTATGTTTCGTCGTTTGGCAGCCATTATAAAGGCCAGAGGAGACTCAACTCGCTATTGACTAGCTAACCCTAATTCAGTGGCACTTCAGTGTAATATGATTTTATTGAGAGTGTGACATTAAAATTTTCACCACTCATGCCATTGCGTCAATTTACAGAAGCAATAATACGGCAACAATAAGGCACCCTTATTTATCTTATTTAGAAAAATAAGGCACCCTTATTTTTCTTATTATTTAAACAATAAGGCACCCTTATTGTTTAAATCCTATAATTTAGAACAGTAATAATTTTTAAAATAATTTAATACACATTAATACATACTTATATTACAGAATTTTATTTTAAAGGCAGTTTTAGTAACTGATTAACACAATATTTTTACAGAGGGCTAGTACAGATATTTAAATGTTGCGTACGAAACGCAGCTATCGAAACTGAAGTAGACAGTACTTTTGCCTCCAAATGTGAATTTCTAATAAATCTTCATTCGCTATTGGTATTTAGGAAACTGAAAAGTTAAGTCAAATATTAGAAAGTAATCTTAAATTCGCCAAGGCAATTTAAGCCTAACTTTTCTGTTTTCGTCACTGCGTTAAGCATTTATGATACTTAAACTGAAAATTGTGAGAATTTGTCCTAATCCATGCTCCATAAGATCTTTAATTGGTCTTGAAGTAGTAATAGCACACTGTTGATTATTTTAAGTAGTATAGCACTTTTAAAATAATATATATAATTTTTAATAATTTTGTTAATACTTATATCCTTCCAATACTTAACTAAAGGCGCTTCAAATGCTACTCATTGAACACTCCTTTATTTTACATTCTTATGAACTGTTTTAAAGCAATATATGTCATACGCTAGGGTGTTATTAATTTTTTTCAAATTCTAAAAGTTAAATAAAGCAGATTTTTATACTAATGTAAATCTTTAATAGCCACATATTTCTCATGACAAATTTTAAGCAAGCTTACTTTTATTGCAGACTTACCAATAACGACGAGAACTGAGTGCTTTGTCATTCTGATCACATATTATTATGGTTTTATCGTTTTCGTCACACCATAATTTTTCATATTTTGGAACAGCTTCATAAATAATTCATTTCTCTTATTATTGCGGCGTCTACCTGTGTTTGAATAGCTGATGCAGATTGCAAATGACTCTTCTTCGAAGGCGAAAATGTTGCTTGCATAATTCAAATATTATTTGCGGTGCATTTCTGGCTGAGGTAATGTTGTAAAGAATAAGTTAAAAATTTCACTTTTACCACAGCAATGGCCAGCAGGAGAAAATGCAACGAAAGTGACTATATCTCCTTTAATGAAGAAATCGTTTTTTGTTGAGAATGGGGAGAAATTAATGGGAATTTTTTAATTATGCCTATAGTGTTTTTTCGGTGAAGCTATTATTTTTAAATGAACTAGAATTCCTTTTTGTAAAAATGTTTTTATTTATGAATGACAAATTTTAAAAAACTGCTATAAAAGTAAGTAATCGTTGTTGTTGTCTTGTCCATGTATTTCAAGGAAGAATGGTTGCCAGAACCTCAAGGAGGTTGAACTTCTATATCTTCCCCAATTTTGAAGGAGAGCCACCAAGAGGGTGGTCAGAGAGTCTCGAAAACATGAACATTAACAAAACATTTTTGCGTATTGTAGCAAATTTAGACCCATCAAATTTAACGGAAGTATCAGAAATCATCTTAATGTAGGAGCTCGAATCGCATGCCGAAAATGTACGAGCTAATATTTGATTTTAGAAAATACAGACGAAAAGCAGAATTTCAAGATTCTAAAATTCAACAACTCTGTAAACTTTTATCAAATTTAAAATTTGGAGGGGGGGAACTAGCTGCGTTTGAAGCAAATGGAAAAATAATCGTCAAACCCGAATAACACAGGAGGTCACAAATGGCGTACAACTAGTCATTTGTGCAACCTCACAAATACTGAATAAAATACAATTCAGCTATCAACGCAGTGAATAAGCAAATACAAAATTTCATTAAGTAAGTTGAATGCTTGCCTTGAAAACGGTACGATTTTAATCTAAGATCTTCTAACCGTTATCTTTCTAAAAGGAGGCAGTATAACTCTCATACCAATAATGCCAAGAAAGTTTACTATATTTATCATCAAAACATCAAAAGTTTAAATCTGATGTTTATATGTTTGTTTCTCTAGCCACTTTTTAGTTGCAAAACTAAATTCCGCTGCCCTTCCAAAACAAATTCCCTCATCAATAGTTAAGATATTAAGACCGCTGAATGAATACTGGTAGTTTGGCCTAATTGAATCCAAGCGAACGAGCTGACTCATTGTTAGTATTCTCCATGCGTAACCTAAATATGAACTAATTTCCATTAACATGCCTTCCATGGAGGCATCCATGTCCTTAAGAAGATAGTCCTTGTGCGCTTTGCCATATTTAAGTAACCTGATCTAACAGAAGCAAGTCATGGACATGGGAATAGCAGAAAATGCTTTGGATTACATGGTTATCATAAGCAAGCAAATATGCAATTCCTTATTAATACAGGTAGTGAGCATATTAACGCCAATACTTTAAAGCTGTTTGCCGCAAACAATACTAAAATTAAAACGAATGATATTGAAGTACTCAATCTGACTTACAGGTGAAATTTCGAGTGAATATTTTATAATCGCTTATATTTCGATCCCCATATTAGAAGTCGACTTTTTTTTTTTTTTTTTTTTTTCATTTTGGCTTACTTATACACATACACACACAAAATTATAACTTACACACATACACACACAAAAGTCGATAACACATTGGCAACTCTTGCTACTATTGAAAAATTAGGGCTCAATACTCAGCTAATTATCAAGAACGTTTCTGAATACTAGCATATGCTTCGACAGTTTCCTAAACTAACTAATCCTACTATGAACAGCATATTTCAATTAAGCATGACACAGGTCAGCGATAAAAACTAAAGAACAGTCCATGCCAAACCAAGATGACTTTTCCCGAAGTTTACAATCTATCAAAATAATAATTCGAATATATGTTAGAATACAGAACTGGTCAGCCATTTAAAATAGCTAGTCATACATATAATTAATGCAAATATGCATTATTTAGCCATGCTATTTTCACACGCTATAAAAATGATAAGTAAACTTGTTGTTTACTAAATTATATTAAACATGATTGTCACTCTGAATGTAATAATTTCAGAATTATACAAACCTGATAACTAATACAAGTTGGTCTTACTTATATATTTTATTTCATTTTTTTTTTTTCAAGATTATATAAGCAGCAGATGACTGCTTGATTTTACTTTACGATCTGAAAAGTATGGTTCTCATTTAGAAGCACCAATACAGGGAGTTAAAAAATTAATTTTTCTGCTTTCATTTAAACTAAAAATAGAATTTCTGCATGGAAGATAAATATTTATAACTTAAAAATTAAATACAAATTTGCATTTCAATGTATGAAATGAAGTTTGATTAATGAAGTGATGTAAAAGTTAGTACTTTTTTGCCTACATTTCAGATTTGAAGTATTATATATAACTTATAGTATTATATATAAAAATATTAAGAAAGCAAACAACAGCCGTCCAGTGCAACGTAAATGTGAGAAGCATTAAGCATAGTTAAATGTATCATGGGAATCGAATTGGATCCATTGGCTCAGCTTAAAAACTATATTCTGGCCAATTATGTAATTAGAGAAATATACTCAGTATACTATACAGCGTATTTAAAAAATATAATGCCTCTATAATCGGTGTTGCAGACAAATGGATGCCAATTTAAGAAATTAATGGAAGAAGATAAGATTTTGGACTACTTTTCTATCCAATAACCATTGTTTCACTCATTTATCAGGAAAAAAACAGGATTTTAGAATATATAGATTTTAATTATGTAAAACTTTGAGGAAAATGAACAGAATTTAATTTATAATGCTCGATATGGAAACAAATGTGAATGAGAGAAATACCTTATAATGTTCTAGCTAAACTGGCAGTTCTTGGTAGCTAGAATACTTAAGAACTGTGCAGGGAATTATCACTAAGTTCACATGGAAATGACAAATCTAAAGAAGGGTTAAGTTACCATTTTATTCAACTCAATAAGGTTCACGGTTAGCCTCTCCCGGGCTTACAGGAAGCCTCCTCTTCAGCTTTAACTTAACATAGAAATAAGAAACTGATGTAATGCTAACTAAGCTAAAACAAGCCGAAGCTGCACAAAATTAACAGAGTTGGTCCTTATTTAAAGCTTACCGGCGAATAACAGCGGACAAGTAATAATACGGCTGAATGTAATAGGATTAGGCTTAATGCACAACGATGTGGCCAGAAGGCAGGACACGTTGTACTAAGAACTTTGAAGCTCTTCTACTGAACTGACAGAGACTTCCACTTAAATTCTCGCTCTACCTCATTTACATAAAACGTGATTTTGAAAACTTATTCTGGTAGGGAATTGTAGGTGGGAAATAAGAAAGTAAAGATCAGCTTATTCAAAAATAAAAATAACTATTAGAAAATTAAAATAACCCGCTACACCTTTTATAATCAAAGAAGCTTTGATTCACAAACAATGAAAAGTAACCTAAAAGTTCAAATGATACTTTCTAAAAAATACCTTTTACATCCTCTTATAAAAATACTAAAATTCGAAATTTGCATTAAAGTGACATAATTTTGAAGATGAAAATTTTATGTAGTATGAACCTTTTCTTCTTGTAAGAGATCTTTAGGATGTTAAGGAAAAACATTTAGTTGGATAATATTTTATAAAAGTCCTATATACAATTTTAAATTGTGTATATTTTCGCAAAATGGTGTCACATAACCAACAGCATCATATCATATTTTGTTTCATACATTTCGTAAACAAGAAAATTTTACAATAAAACATTGAAGAGATAGTTAGGCGTGCAGCATTTATAAAAGAACATGTAATTATCAATTACGCACTTTATTATAGCTTCAAAATTTTCACATTTCCTAGCACAGAATATACCCTATAATAACAGAATTTCAAGACTCTGTTACATCAGTAGACTCCGATTTAATAATGTAGCTGTTGGTCTTGAAGCTTTTTCTTTGTCAACCCATGAGAATTCAAATCTTTATTATGAAACTTTTTAAAGGTTTAACCCACTGTAATAGAAAGAAGTTTCTAAAATTGCTTATTGTTGTAAAATTGTAGAGTCATTGTATTGAAGATTCAGGATATTATTAAAAACCGGTAAAAGCTAAAGTAACACTTGCAATTTTTGACTGAAACATTTTCATCTTATGAAACAATAATTACTTCAAGGAGTTATTTAGTTGCAATCTTAAATAATTTTGACGCTTTTTAATAAGTTAATTTTGAATATGATACACATGATACAAAGCTATCTTCACTTGATATCAGGTTTCCTGCTTTTTCCGGATACTCAGTTTCATTACTCTTTAACGAATATTCGTGATCAATAAATTCATAAAGTTGGATCTGATCTGTTGATTTATCCTCTTCAGCATCTACATATTTGAGTTTCTTAACGATTAAAGGTATTTCTTCTGTAATATGCTCTTGTTGATAAGCATATGATACAAAGCTATCTTCACTTGATATCAGGTTTTCTGCTTTTTCCGGATATTCAGTTTCATTACTCTTTAACGAATATTCATGATCAATAAATTCATAAAGTTGGATCTGATCTGTTGATTTATCCTCTTCAACATCTCCATATTTGAGTTTCTTAACCATTAAAGACCTTTCTTCTGCCATATGCTCTGGTTGATAAGCATATGATACAAATTTTTCTTCACTTGGTATCAGTTTGTCTACTTTTTCTGGATATTCACTTTCATTACTCTTTAACGAATATTCACGATCAATAGATTCATGAAGTTTGGGCTGATCTGTAGATTTAGCCCTTTCAGTATATTTGAATTGCTTAACCATTAAAAGCATTTCTTCTGTCATATGCTGTTGTTGATGAACTATGGAATCTTGCATGGTCGTTGAATTTTTTTGCAAGGAAATGTAATTGAATAGCAAAATTTTATGCAGGATACTTTCCAGCATTAAAAGAAATTCTTCTTTTGAATCATTCTGCATTAGAAGAACTGAGTTTTTTAACTCCTTCTGTCCAAGCTTGATATCTTGTACAATTCTTTTCATCTCCATAACAGTATGACGATTGGTTTCATAGCAGTCTAAAACAATAAGAATATAATATCTTTAGTTTAGAATAACAGATTAATGTACAACAAAATTTTATATATGATAGTTGTACATACACATTAGTTTTAATAACATTAATCACAATTAAAATTTTTTTTTTAATATCTGAAATTACGAAAAGTTGCTTTTTTTCCCAAAAAAATTAAAAGAGGAAAAATACTGTTAGAGTTTGAATTTAATTCGGGAATCTTATGATCTGATTCCTTATATTAAAACCATTCTTGTCATAGAAGAAATTAAAATTGATTCAGTAATCAAAGTTAACTCTCATTTTCAAAAGAGTATGCTAAGGACTTAAGAAATGTGATCTTACATACTTCTAACTTAACTAAAAAAAATTGCTTCATTTTTTAAAGTCATTTAAGAAGCATAAAGAATTGCCTTAAAAGGTACTTAAGATTTTGTGGTGTGACCAAAATATATTTGTTGGTTATGCTAATTAATATATTTCCAAAAATATCAGACAGTGTTTTCTCTTTTAAAATCGTCCTTATGTATCAAAAGGAGTGGAGTTGCTGTTTAATGGCACTGTACTTTATTCGAGTTGTTAATTTTAAATACCTTTTAACTTTAACTGAACAAGACTTAAGCAGTGCTGACACCATTAAGTCGAGGCTCTGTTATGAAAGTATGTTTTCAATATGAACATGATGCATTTGGACATGTAAAAATTATAACATCTTCATCGAAAAAATGAATTTGCAAAGATGTACAAGTACCATATTTCTGCATAGCAGTGACAATGGCATTAAACAGCCAATACAAAATAATACGATATATGAAAGTAGGATGTTAAAAAACAAGCAGCTTTTTCAGTTCCCTAAACTAAATTTAATAATCATTTTATTCTGTTCTATTTCTCAGATGCAACAGTTTTAAGGACACTGGTTTTTTAGGGTTTTAGGTGAGTCCTTTTTTTTACACCTTGTTTAATTTCAAAAAGTACATTTTAAAACTAAGGTATTTTATGAAATCATATGAGACTTTACATGCAATGTCCTTTTGAAATATAAGCTCTGTGAAATAAATCAAAACTTATAACAGGCATTTATAACGGAAAGGACAAAAACATATAACAGAAGGGCTTAAAGAAACGAAGATATTTCATTGACACCATCAATAAAAGTAGCAAAATGTTGTGTCTTTGATTACCATCTGTGGAAGAAAGAATAAAACAACTTACTAAATTTTACTAAAAATGCAGTTTATATAGTATTTAAATCAATGAACTCGAATAATTTGTGTATGAATTTTGTAATTACACTAAACATTTATGTCTAACTTATCATTTTTTTAACAACAAAGATTTTATTAGAGAGTTCCACTTACAATAATGATCGAAGTATTTTATGTAAAGCTAAGAATTCTGTATTATCAACAAGTTACACCTATCATGTGATTTAAATTGATTTAAATTACATTGATTTAAAAGAAAATTTCATATTTTCTCCCTCTCTTCCCTTAAGATGAACATAAATGATTCCAGATGATTTTGGTTTTCTGCACAGAAATGATGGTATTTAGCACTGTTATTTAATTATGCTCTCAAAAATGCCTTTCATTTTCTGAAATATCTACCACAATAAAGTGGCTGCTGTGAGAAGTTTCACTCTATTAGAACATAGTTTAAATGTTTGACTAGTAGTATTAATATGTTATATTTAATCACGCAAGAAAGAAATCTTACATAAAACATATTTACTATATTATAGTATCTATAAAAACAGCAGATTTACAAATGCTACATCTACTAGGTATGTTTCCTAGAAGGAAAACAAACAACTTTATTAGAACAATAAATTAGATGCATTTAGTCAAATGCAAAGCAAGATAACATATCAGGGGCGTAGCTAGAGGGGGGCAAGGGGGGCATCTGTCCCCGGGCGCAGAATCCAAGGGGCGCCAAACTGATGTTACGACATTTTAGAATTAAACGTTTTCCATCCTTGGCAAGCAGTAAGTAGGGGGCGCAAAATCTTCAGTTGTCCCTGGGCGCTGAAAACCTACGGCTCTGTAACATATGCTAAATATTAATTGAGAATATATAATAAATTAACCTAGAGCGAAATTTCCTTAAGCAAAGTCACTGCAGCAACTGTGAAAAGGCAGTACTGGTATAGAAGAAAAGGACACTTGCATAATATAGATCAGAAGTGGCCAGGAAGTCAATCGAAGGAAGCGATTTTTGATTGATCACAACCAACATACAAACGCAACTTAGTCTTATTTCAAAGAAGCTCATGGCTCCTTCCCGTTAACAATTAGCCTTAAGCTGTCGAGATACTTTGATACTTTGGTTGGTTATTCTGGCATGCAGCGGGAGATGCACTACTCCTGTTCTTTCCACATTCCTGAAGGAATCCGCTTAGAGTCCTGACATGTGTGAAAGTTCAAAAATGAAGCTTCTCCAGTTGAGATAGCCTTGTAAAAATAATAGAGAAATGAAGCCCTGAGCTTCGGTGACCAGCAAGCCATGTCTGGGACAGCTGCAGAAGGACAGGGAGGTGGGGAAAGCTGGCCGGAACACATGAAGAGGTTTGTAGAGTCCGAAAGGTGTTGAGTTTGCAAACTACTGAGTGTGTAGAATGGAAGAGCGGCGTTTTAACTCACCTGTCCTCCACTTGCTGTCCAATACGTGGGCTCCGTGATACTCCCTTATTTATTCATTGGTGTAACAGTATTATAAGTTGGCATTTCTTGTTTCTTGTTTAATAAATAGATACCACTACAGTATTCACCAATGTAATCACTATATCAACCATAGTGGTAACATTGCATTAGCATAAATGTAAGTACCTTCTTTCTGTGTTTTAAATCAAAACTCTGCTTGTATACTTTTGTATTTTAGTACCCAATAAAATTAGTAGTAAACCAAAAATATCAAAGATTTTTCATCAAGAATGAGACCTTTATTATTTTTTACAGTGATGAATGGTTTAATATTTAGTATTCACTGCGGTAGTAGTATTGTATTAGCATGAATGTAAGCACCTTCTTCCTATGTTTTAAATGCAAATTGTCTGCTTGTACATTTTTCATTTTAGTATCCTGTAAAATGAGTTATCAAAGACTTTTCAATCTCATGAAGAATGGGAACTTGATTATTTTACAATGATAAATAATAAATGTCGTCGTTTAATATGCAATGCCTCAATAGCTGTCATTAAAAAGTGTAATCTGGAGAAGCATGCTTTTAACTTTACATAACAAATATCAAACAGATTACCCACAAAATAAAGATTTGAAAAGATTAAAACTAAGGATCTGAAGTCTTAGTGAAGAGTTCAACAAAATGTTTGTAGGAAGCCCATGTAGAAATCAATGGGAATGGCATCCTTGAAAGTTAGTCATATTTTACCAAGAAAAAAATGTGAACCATTTTCTGATAGGGAAATTATAAAATAAATCTTTTTTTTTTTTTTTTTGGTAAATGTCAGACTTAAATTTTAATAATTTTAAGAACAAGATTGACATCATTCCTGCAATTATAGACCTACAATTGTCTCGAAGTATTGCTGTGCGGAGGCTTGAGAAAATGAGCGAAAATTAAGAGAACAGTTATATATATATATAATAAAAACTAAACTGAACTCAGTGGCACAACAGCCCTAGTGGGCCACGGCCTGCATTACCATTTTCTGCTTTCTTGACTTTGGGGCCCAGGAGTGCATCAGCATATGCCATGGACAAGTGGTCAGTTCGTCGCAGGACCCCCGTGTTTAGTCCCCAAGCGAACTTGGTACTCATTTTATCGACCCACTTAGGGATGAAAGGCTAAGAACAGTTATACATAAACCATATAAATAGATTCCCTTCGATTTGATGAATCGATGAATATAATTGACACAGCAAAGTTTTTTTTAATTAATTTCATAATAAGGGATGAAGCAGGAGCCATGATAGACTACTTGAATGAATTTATAACTCTGTGCTAAATGATAATGAATTCTCAAGCTTTTTCAAATAAGAGATTGATTTTCTAATGATTTTAAAGATTGAAATTATTGTTTCAGTTTTAGATCTACAACTTTAATGCACAAACAAAATATTAAATACAAAAGAAATAATGGAAAAAGAGTTTAAAATTTTCAATTCCGTCTGAAGAAGTTTTCTCAAATTATTATTACATACCAATATAAGCTAGCTAATAGAAATAAATTTCTGCGCTGATTTCATGATTTATTGACTGAGATAAAAGTTTTCTCAAAAAACAAGATCTAGAATATTCATTTTTAATTGATGAAATTTGGCTAATTGATTTAGAATTTCTTACATATTTTAATGCATCAAAGTTAAGTGATTTAAATTAGGAACTGCAAGGAGAAAGTAAAACAGTATTTGAAATAATCAGCAGCATTAAGGCGTACGAAATAAATTTAGTGTGGTAAAAGAAGATCTGTTGTTACATATAGCTTTATTGGAAAAATCAATCCAAACATATAAAACAGCTCTATCACACAAGGACAATGATATATAATAAAAAAGAACAAATATTTAAAGTAAAAATCAGAATAACTGAACATGGGAACAAAAGTAAAAAGTTAAAAACTTAAACAATAGATCTTATACAAAACAATTTGGATCACATTTCAAATATATCCGATTACCTGCAAAAATATCAAAACCGTAATTATAACATTAAAAACACTTGAATTAGATTGAAGTCACATTTCTTGATTTTGAAAAAGTTATTGTGCAGTAATGAGTATTTGCCTTTTCCTTTTAAATCAGAATTTATATTTAAAACATACTGCCGCAAGAATTTCTGACATATTTACTATTCAGAAAAATCATATTAGAAAGTAACTCTGCAAACTGATGTAATATTACAAGCCAGAAAACTGAATAACGATTTTTGACAATACAACCAACGAGAAATGTATTATAATATCCCAAAAATTTAGCGAATAAAAATATCTATTCTTGGTTTAGATTTACATACTTATGTGAATTGGCTTTTTCGTATCTAAAGTTCAAGAAGACTAAACATCATTTTCTACAGCTTGTTGCTTCCCTTGTTGAAGATCCATTATCATCATCTTTGAATGGATGCACACTAAAACGAATTTTCCACTAATGATAAGGTAATAAAATCTCTGTGAAAATTTCCTGCGGTTACTTTTCAATAAGAAAAATTATTAATAAAACATCATGCTGGCCCTCACCTCTGTTGTCATTTAATAGTACAAGTTTCTATGTATTAACTGTCAAGACTTTTGCAAGTAGATGGCGATGTTTTTTTTTTTCTTTCTTTCTTTCTTTTTCTTTTCTTTAAGTCTATCATACTATATAGAGCTTTGATGCAAATGAGATTTTATTTCCTACTATTTTTAATAAGAAAAGCAAGACTTTCTTACATAATAGTAATGCCGTCTTTATGAAAGCCCTTAATTTAAGATTAATATATTATTTAACATGCATTAACAGCCATTTATAACATAACAAGTACAAGCATCTTAATAAAATGTAGAGCTATTATTGCAAAGATTTTTGGTATTTTGTACACTAGGCAGAGATTTCACAAACATGACAGTGTTATTACGAATTTTAGCCTTTGCACTAAAAGAATTTTGTTATTGTGTACGGTTACTATTATTTTGCATTAACTAGTTATTTGAAATTTTAGCCTGTCACTACTCCTTTTCGTTTCCTCACCAGAATGCAAATCAGTGTTTAAATTCGAGGATTTTGTATTGTACGACAGGGTGTGTTTCTGGCCTCTCGAGGCCACGTTACTAAGTTCTGATAAGATTGCAGTTATTCGGCTTTGAGTTATAGCTGCCGTCATTTAAATTGTTACATAGGTTAGTATTTTGAGTCAACTTCGATTTAAATTCACTTGTGCAGTCTTTGACTACTAGCCTCATTTTAGTTTAAATTTCACTGTTAGTTTAAGTTACATCTCTACAAGTGGTAGCCGTTTCTATGAGCACGAGACGTGTATTTTATATTCAAATTCTGTTTTAATAAAATGTTTATTTTAATCTTCTGAAATTCTCTTTCGTTAGCTTTTGCCACAGCGATAATTTAATCCAAGTTTGTTAGGGGTTTGATAGTAGTTTTTGCTACCAAAGCAAGTAAAACTCTATAACTGATATGATGTAGGCATTGACTTTTAATTAATTTTTCCCCATATTAAAAGAGAACACGTTTGAACGCTGCTTCATCAACCTATGACTTGAATCTGTTTATTTACGATTTCTTGTAGAAGTTGTCATAAATGTGTAAACGATCTTATATTCAGGTCAATCTGGTACCAGTAAGAATTTCTTTATATGATTTTTTTTTTCTCATAATAAACATTTTGTGGCTTGAAAAGTGATAATACAAAGTTAAAACCTTAATAAGGCCATCATCAACGACCTAAGGAAGTCTCATTAGTTTCTAGAAAAACTGTAGGTCATTGTAATTATGTTCCTCAGTCTTCACGATATTTCATTGCAAATAGCTGAGGCATTTGGGGAACTAGTCTGTTTTTTATTTAGTCCGCATTAAAATTCTTCAGTTATTAGACTATAACTGATGTCACAGGTATAACTTAAAGGTGCAAAACGAACTTACCCAGGGCAGTTTTATGAGAACTGGCTAATGCAAATAGCAATATTGATATAGCTGCTACAAAAAATAACACTGAGGAATAAAAAAATTTGTGCCTGCAAAGTTTCTTCCTTTGGGGTCTAATTCGGCCATTATTCTCCGCAGTTGCAGCAAATGATTCTAAAATAAAAAATTGAACATACTCATCAGTTTATGCAGATACTACATTATTTAATGTTGAATTAAGCGCTGGGAATATCTAAGACTGAGAATATAATCTTCTAAAGAAAATGATATTTGAAAATTATATTTTTTAACAAGTACTCACTTGTAAGATTTTTACTTCAAAAACGTTGTGTTACATCTTTGCATTTTTTACAATATCTTATATGCATACTCAATACAAAATGTGTACTATTTTCTCAACGTATATGAAACATATCATTTTAAGTAATCAATGGCTAATAAAGGTACCCAATAAAGAATTTTAACCCACAAATAATTATACCAAATTAAATTGATTAGTACTGTTCTATACTGTTATGGCACATGCAATCTGTATTCTAAAAATAACGTATCTTATAAGAAAAACTATTTATATATAAGATCTCTACCTGCAAAAATAAATTTTTGACAAATTCAGATAAAGAAAAAGCTGTAAAATGAGGAGAAAATGTTTCATTTTAATAATACACATCTATTTTTCCTCATAACCATCATTTAGTATTACTAAATACTATAAACATGAGATACAGTTTTTCCATTCTGTTCATGAAGAAAATTTGTCATATCTTTACAGGGCTGATCATTTGCATATATCAGCTTGAATATAAAATGAAAAATTCTGACGTCTAACATCTCTTAATTCTAATTACTATAAAAAATCAAAAGGCACCAAATCTGAATATAGAATGAGCGTAAAATTCAGACTTGTCATTGTTTCCACTGTTTGTTCACTGCAATGGCTTTGCACTGTTGTGATGCAGAGAAAAATTTCCTTCCTTCATGCATGATCCTGCAGATGTATTATTTGCATGTTCAAGAAGCTCCACAGTACCTTTTGGAGCTAATCGTCATTCTCTGTGGCAGTCAAACATTATTACTGAATGCTGCTTCATTTACAGCTGGAAAGAGTATTCATAGTACGGTTAATGTTGTTAGAGGATGTTAAAATGTTACTCAAGGAGGTCCCACGGCGAAAGGATGCCAGAAGAAGGTGTCTCTATTCTAAAAAGGAATTCAATACATTCTCATCAACTAGACTGTTATGGAACTAATGACTAAAATAAAATATACCTACAATAAGGGATTTTTAGAGTAAGCAATGACGGTTTTAGGGTATTAACAATGTCATGTACTTTATTCATCCATCAACCTATGTAACATAGTTTCTTACATAATTGAATATGCCTAAAGAGTACTGAGTATATATATATATATATATATATAGCACTAAAATAATTTTCTACTGAAGCATAATATGTATGTTATAAAACTTACAGTAATGCATCCATATAAAAGCAAATTTTGCATCTCATGTTTCTAAAGAAACAAGGCTCAATATTTGAATTAGTGTAGACAATAATCACACCATTTCGTGACATGAAAATTATTTCGGAAGCGGATATATAGTGCCAGACCTAGTTTTTTATATACTATGAATGAATAATATTTCTCTAGTGTAAAATTTTGCACATCGAAATATTTTATACACATGTATAAAGTATTCCGATGTGCAAAATTTTACACTATAGAGAAATATTTTATTTATTACACGAAATATTTTGTTACACATGGAATTATTTCAATTATCACAAAGGATTTCAGTAGCCTTGATCTGGAATGTCTAGTAGTTACAATATATGGCTCAATCCTAGAAGACGCTGCACAAATCAAGACATTGTTTACTTATCGCAGGCTTGAACATACCTTTTTATAACTTAATATTGGATACGCCTCTTTTTAGAAAAACGTTGCAGTTATGCTGTAGCTTCGTATTTGAAAAAAATTTAAATTAAATTTTAACTGAGTTGAAATGTTAGGTTTGTAGTGTTCCTGCACGATATTTTTTTATTATAAATCTACGTTATTGTGTGTTGTGTGCTACCGTCATTCTCTGTGGCAGTCAAACATTATTACTGAATGCTGCTTCATTAAAATTTAACACAAGGAATTAGCTCTCAGAAATGCATTGTTAAGATTTACCAAACGATATAAAATGCTGAATAAATGAATGAAAATTTACAACCGTAACAGCTCAAAAGGAAGAGAAAAACGTTCTTTGGCTCAAAGAATTCTTTAATGAATATGTCTGATGTTGGTGACTCAGGTATAGAAGAAGAGCTGATTTTTTTTTTTTTTTTTTCTTGTAAATTAGAGAGAACGAATGAAATAAAGCATCACTGAGTGTAGAAAATATTCATTGCGACGTCATATAAGTATGCGATTTGTGGAACAAAAATGAAATTGGTTGAGCGAGAGAACTATATAAATGGTTTTGAGTAGAAGTGTTTATGCGAGGCGAATGTAAAAATCTAGTTATAAGATATATTCAAAAGGTATCGCGATTTACGAAGTGTAAATTGAGTATATGTGGTTTCTGCGAATTACATATATGTAGCTGGTTAAGTGCAGGAATGGTTTTATACTATCTGAGTTAAGAATATCTAAAAAGACTGTCACAGGTTGGTTGAAGGCACGGATGTCGAGTGATTCTTAGAAATAATTATGAGCAAATGTTTATTATAAGCAAATGTTTTTCCCGGATCACTGATTTTTCATCGCTTGCTGGAAAGCGTTCAGCTGCCTCGAGGCCGAAGGATAAAAGCATTATCATTTGAAAGAGAAAAAAAGTTTGCGCTTCGAAGATCAAGATACAGATGTATTCGGCCGAAGCCGAGGACTGAAGGTAAGTTTTATTTATTATTATTGGCTAAAGTGAAGTATAGGATTGACGTCAAATTTATTAATTTCTTTATTAGGTAACGGCATTGTTATGATAGCTTAATTTGGTCCTTGGGTCATTTTTCTGGAAATGTTACTTTTTTCAAGAACTCGAATCAATGTGTGATATTTTTCTAGTAAAAGAGGAACCCTCTTTTATTTTCATTACACTGGAATATATTTAAAAGTTGAAACTGTTCTAGCGGTGTAATGATTATGGCAGGTGCTTCGCGGCGAAGCTATGCGCAATGCCGAGGTTGTGCGCTTCTCGATTTTTTTAAGCGAAAACAGATCGCTGCGTGCATGGAGAGAAAAACAGTATTATATCGTATATTATGTTGAATGTATCATTTTTATATTTTTAAATTCTGTTATTGTATTAAATGTAAATTGTATTTTAATCATCATTTTTGATTTTTAAATTTGATTTCTCATTGTTTTCTTTTTGATGTGTTGATAATATTTTTTCGACATACGGTAAATTTTGATAGCATGACGCTCTTAAAAGTCAAATGTCGAGTTGCGAAAATGGCGAACTTGCATTATTAAAATAATCATGAAATGTTACTTATCGAGTGCAATACCAGTAGAAAACACTATGTATTAAAATAATTACATAGTGTTTGTAACTGAACATTATTTTATATTTTCAACTTGAAGCACTGCTTGTTATTATAAATTTGTGGTTTTTATTTGCGTATCTTATTTTCCTTAATTGTGGGAAAATAGATGTTTGCCAGTTATTGACGTATGGAACACTCATTTGCACAAAAACAGTATAATGTTATTTAGAAATCTTAGATGTAGTGAAATGAAAGTTATGTATGATATTCATTTGCTGTAAAAAATTATTTTTCTTTTTCATTAATACTCATTTTTTAAATATTTTTACATTATAATGAATATTGTCTACTTAATAGAATATGATAATTTTTGTGTAACAAGAAACTCATTTGTGAAAATGGTAGAATTATGTGTATTTAAATTGATGTGAATTTAAATTTTAGGAAAGTTCTTATTGATATTAATTTCAAAGCTTAAAAGATCTTTGAAAATATTCAAGCTATCCGACGTATAAGCAAGACTTGTAGTTTAGCGTTCCAATAAATAGTAGGTTTGGGTTATTCTACCATGTTAATTTAAAATAAACAGATTATTGTACTTATTTCCAGTAAAACGAAAGCTCAATTTTTAGAAATGTAAGATTAAAAATAAAAAAATTAATATTAATTTACAATAATAAAAAATTTATAATCCTAATAAATACAGATTTTTGTTATTTTCTGTAGAAAATAGTAAATACACATTGGTAAATTCGAGAATACATTGTGACGTCACGACTTAGTCATACCCATTTATTGACGTTTTTTAGCTCCGCCTTCGGAATTTTGCTTATGCAGCGTATTCTGAGCTTTTACCCAATATATTTCATTGATAACAACAAAATAGACTGCAAGGAGGAAAAATTAAAACTTGAAAATATTACATAGTGCCTTAAAAAATGAATGACCCTACTCCTCAAATATCATTTTTTCAAATTTACAATCTTCGAATGATAGTTAATTCATGGAATGAGAGCAAAACTCTCCAGTTACCTGAACAGTCATAATGTGGTAGTTACCTTTTTTTTTTTTTTTTTTTTTTTTTTTTTTTTTTTTTTTTGCCAGTAGGCTCCACATAGCAACAACAATGTGTTGGTGAATTATTTGTAAGGCCATCAATTTTAATGCAAAATAAAGCTTCTTACCATTTAAGTCATCTGCTAAATTAGATGTACTTAGTTGATGGCATGTGCATTTACAGTAAAAATAAGATAATTAATTTATTTTATGAAATTAAAACCCTTTAAGAAATGGAAATGTTGTAGATTTAATTGAATGAAGATTTTAATGAATAGTAAATTAATATTTATAAAAAAACTAAAGATATGTAATAAGAACTTAACAATAATAGTACATAACAATAATACTAAAAAATTACGATGTAAAGTTAATTCATTTTCAACTAATTTTTATAATCTAGATATTTCGTAAACAAGTTGAAACAATCAAAATTCAAATTTAGAAATATTAAGATGGATGATTTAATTCATGAAGTTTAATCTGCTTGTAAACGAAAATGATCAGCAAAAAGAGAAACGTAAGGTGGCAGATTTTATTGGTTAAATTTTAATAAGGAACGAGATATTTTAAATTAAAAAACAAAATATAGTAATCTTCTCCTTGCTTTACATATAAAATACTGTTCATATTTTAACATTTTGCTCGCTTATGCTGTTTCAAAACTTGAGTAAAATATACACATTTTTCTAAGCACGAAATCTTTTTAAAGGAAACTGATAGAATTTTAAAACGCTTTATGTCAAAAGAATATATCTAATGTTTCAGTTTATCAATTAATATGTGTTTAAAATGTAACAATGATAATAATCAAAATGCTTCTATAAAGTGCCTATTTTTTTGTTCAATAATATACTATAATTTTTATGTATAATATATCATTATTCTTAATATGGCTGCTATGGTAAAAAATTAGGCTTAGCTGCACTTAAATAACTTTTTAATTGTTGATAATTCTATAACTATTGTATGCAGATTAACTAAAAGCATAAAAACCTTAACCGGAAGAAAAGAATAATATAATTCAATAATTTTTAAAGCAAAAAATGCACAATTTACCAACATATTTTAAGCAACATATTATTTATTACAACATATTATTACATATTATTTTACCAACATATTATTTAAGAAATATAAAAACTGAGCTCACGAAGCCGAGTAACAGTGTGGGTATATATTTATATACTTTTGGAGCTGCCGATTGCAACCAAAAGGGGAGGTGCACAACTACATGTTATAGCAATCCTATTATACATATTGTCAACGTTCTCAGGCTACTCGTTTTTGAGTTATGCGAGATACATACATACGTACGTACAGACGTCAAGATAAAATTGTCTTTGATCTATTTTAAATTAATTTTATAATCCGTTTGGGGAAAGAGTCCTTTATTCTGTCCTTACGTACAAATGTCATGCAAAAACATCGTTAAATTACATTCGATAGAGGTCAAAAGGGATATTTTGTTGAAATATGATACCCGGAATTTTTCGTGATTACAATACTTCCTTTACTTCGTACAAGGAAGTAAATAGCTCAGAAGGACCTGTTAAAATGATCACACTGAACAACAAAGCAATACTACAAAAAGCTGGAGCTATTTTGAAAATGCTAATGGCACTCTCATAAACTCTTAAAATTGGATTTCTTAGCAATTTCATTACTTTTCTGCCATACTTCATACCTACACAAAAATCCTCATTTGTGATACTATTTCTGAAAATCTGTATAAAATAATGTTTCTTACCTGCTGAATTAGTGCTGCTTCCATTATGATCCTCAATATACTTTCTCTCAATCTGTTCACAGCTTTCTGAGCTGGATTGCTTTGTCACATTCTCTTCACTGTTTTTGGAGCTGAAATGGTTTGTCTCATTCTCTTCACTGCTTTCATTCGTATTCAACGAATAAGACTGACCATCTTGGACTATAACATGAAAGACTGTTGATAGTAAATAAAATTTACAACAAAATGTGAGTGAATTTGATATTTAAAATGCATCACCTGTTACACATGCAATCTACTCTCTGTTAGCAAATGATGAAGAATCTGTATGTATGTATGTAGATATGTTTCATGTTTTGCGGAAAAACCGCAGCACCTAGAGCCACCAAATTTTGCATGCAGTGCTGCATACAAACATAAACAAACACCTTGAAGGCAATTTTGACTTTATTTTTTATTCATTTCTTATTTTGTGTGACTTTTAGGAATTTTTCATTAAGAAACTGGGCGCTTTATGAGCAATTTGCTACCATTCGGAAGAACATGATATATTGTTTCAGATTTAATCAGTAAACATATTTAAAAGAAATGTGTTACCAGAAAGAGCAAAACATTTATTTGTCTTTCAGATTTAATCAACAAACTCAGCTATATTAAAGATATGTGTTACATTGCACAAAATAGCTTATTTTTATTTTCCACATGCCATCATGTTGCCATTTGGCAGAGTATGAAATATTTCATCTGTCTGCTGCTTATGGATAGATGGGAGTTAACCAAATTGCATACAGGTTTCTAGACCTTTTTGCAAGCTGGCTGTTGTTTATCACGACACAAGGTGTACCCGGCCCCTTATGACGTTCATTTTATGACATGAAGTATGCAACCTTCATCTTATGTGCCGATATGCCCCTGTGAATAGTTGCCGACTTGCATAAAGGTACCGGAACTGTTATGAAATAGCCGAGGTAGTGGGACATAAAAATTTCCTACTTTTATTCTAATGAATAAAGAATTAGGTCGATCAGTTATGTATTTGCTACGAGCTAATGACGATGGGGATATGACAACTAATTTAAAGTTACCATTAGTTTACCCTTCAAATTTATTTTATTCAATTTTTTCATTTTTATTTATTCATTTAATGTTATTAAAACTTTTTCTTCCAATCAGTTTTTTTTTTTTTGTTTTTGGTGTGTTTTTTGTTATTTTTGCATATTTTAGCAATCATGATTATTTTAACAGTTTTTAAAACATGGCCGTCAGGCGACAAGGCGAACTTACAGCCACCAGCGCTTGAAAAAATCTTGATTTTCTGACAGCACTATACACGCCTCCAGTTACTGCGTAAGAAACTAAGCAACAAATATAGTTTTCTTATCTCTACTCGATTGCTAATTACTAGGTTGACGAGGGAAATTACTCTAGCTGCTCTCATTAAAATTATTGTACATAGTTTTCTTTTTTATAACAACTGTTTAAGATCGCTGGTCCCACAAGCGACTAGTATGTCCAAGCACATATGAAATGATTTCTCCAAGACTACCTCCATAATACTACTACTTTTCTATAACTAGCATAAAGCTCAAACTTCTTTGATTAAATGTTTTTGTGACGATGAAAAGGGATTATACTTTCCCCATAATGCATCTGATGTATCTTAAGATGCTAATAATTTATGAACTGTATAAATTCATACTATTGAGTATACAAACAGTGACGTAGCTAGAGGGGAGTAAGAGGAGACATCCGTACCCACGCGCAGCATCCAGGTGACGAAAAATTAGTGTTACGAAATTTTAAGGCAAACAGGAGAAAGTGCGAATTCTTTAGTTGTTCCAGGATGCTGAAAACCCTAGTTACGGCTCCGAATACAAATATGATTTGCACAATGCCTTGCAGAAAATCATATCGAAACTTTAATTAACATTTTATATAATTTTTAAATGCGCTGAAATGCATTTGCTTCATATTAGTAATTTATGCTATTATTAATAACTGAAGAATATGCTTCATATAACATGAATTCATGAATATCTTAGGAAATAATATATCCCTAATTGAAGAATACAAAATTTAAACTATACTATATGCTAATAAACGAGACATTTCCATTTCCAACACTTTCTTTCGAAAGAAATAAAGAAAAATGTTTTGCTAGTTTAAAAAAAAAAAAAAAAGAGAGAGAGAGAGAGAGAGAGAAAAGAAGAAGTAGTAACCATGTTTTCAGTCGACAAATAAAAAAAAAAAAAAAAAAAAAATAGAAGAAGAAGAAGTATTAACTATGTTTTCCAGTCGACGAAACAACATAAGTTTGCTTTCCCAAGTTTCCTTCAGCACACAGATTAAAATAAGATTAAAAAATATGTACAGTATATTCCGGCGTATAACGAACGCGCCCTTTCAATGCAAAATATAAGATGAAAATTTACGGGTTCGCATAATACGTCGGATATAAAAATGATAGATTAAAAAATAAGGAAAAGATAAGCATATAGAAATTACATTTCTATGTGTATTTAAATGCTGCTTATTTAAAAGAATTGGCATACCTTACGAAATTAAAAACTTTCATTATCGGATAACATGAAAAGTTCATGGTATTCGTTTTAAGTTATATCTTCAGGCACATCTTCGAAATCTGTTTCCCGTTGACCAGCATTATTACTCTGATCCATAAATAAATAATCATCTTCTGTTCCATCTAGATTGTTAGATGTAATATATTTTTTAAATGACTTTGGAGTCATGTCATGTCGGGTTTAATTTTATTCCATTTGTTTTATTATCAACTCATCCATTATTTCTAGACTGGCATGATGCACTTGGGCTCCTTTTTGTAAATGTTTTCTCACCTTCAATATTCACGTATTCCACTGTCTCTTCTAATATCCACGTATTCCACTGTCGTTTTAAATTATCTTTGAATGGTTTGCTGAAACGTAAGGCTGAACTAATGGCGTTGATTCGCCTGGAATAAGTACCATGTCTGTATTGCACTCTAGCAACAATTTATTTCTATTATTCATTAGATGGGATCTGAACATGTCCCGAACTACAAGTAAAAAACTTCTTTGAGGCAACAGGACGTTTTGCTTTCTGGATTCTTTAAGGCAACAGGACGTTTTGCTTTCTGGATTCTTTAAGGCAACATCACACTTTTGCCAAACAGTTCTTGTCCACAATTTCACACCGTTTTCATCTATCCAACCTTTCTCGTGAACGCGAATGGAAACACCATTTGGGAAATTACCTTTCAGCCCCATCTTTCTTTTAAAAATAACCATGTGTTTTAATTGTGTACGGCCCGCTAACCAGAAAAACACTATCAAAGAACGTCTATACATATTCTTTGGGACTATGGTACGATGACATTTTTGTGACCTGCTGTTCTTATGTGAACTATTTCTGATCCTTTCGTATCAAACATTACTGGAATTTCATCCATATTTTAAATATCTGACAGCAAGTATTTTTTTTTCCTTCATAGTTCAATAACAACCTTTGAGAAACTTATCAAATTGTTGTCTTAAATCTTTTGTAAGCTTTTGCGAAACTTTTTTTTTATTATAGAACTAAATTATTCAGTGCCATGAACCGATTACACCAACTAAAAGTTGCTTTAAAGTTTTCACTTTCATCTGCATTCTTTTTTGCCCGTTTTAAGGCAAATAAACGTACCATGTTTCTTGTTACATTTAATCCATTCTGGAGATTTTCTAGGGCCCAGTTCGCGAAACTTTCTTTTAGGATAAGTCATTTCACTACTCTTTGCGCAAAGTACATTTATTATTTGTCAAATTAATTACTATGATTTAACTTTTCTTTCGCTTATGTATGGAGCTTTCATCAACAGCAAACCTCCTTACTGCAGCACGATTCCCATTTTCTCTAGCAAATTGAATAACTTTGCATTTGAAACCAGCAGTGTGTTTGTTTCGTTTGGCAGGAGCTATATTTATTACTAAAGAGAATATTAGATCAACTGTATTTCAACTAAAGCAAATGCGATTTACTAAAGCGTTCGATGTTCCCTTCAAAATCATGGCTTCAAATGATAACAGAAAGAGAAACATCTAATTCTGCGAATACATTCGTGTCGGAAGCACATTCTTACCCCCAAATTATGTTCCCCTTTTCTCGAAACCCTAGAACAATATTCTCGAACACAGCTGTATTGAATACAAAAACCCTCTTTGCAGAATTTAGTCTCTCAAGCATATTCCCCACACTCATATCCCTTTACGGCTTGTTTTTTTCAATATACCATTGTTCGAAAGCCTGTGAAAAATATTCGAATTAGTGACTTCAGAAGATAAGATGATCACACATGTATCTTTCAGGTTTTTGCGTAAAGAAAAAGCGCGCTTGTTACGGCGAATGTACTACCAAAAAATTAAACTGTAGATTAAAATTATAGGTGCATGTTACACGTTGGAGTGTACGGTATATAATTGATGCTTTTATAGAGTTAAATAGAGACAAATACAAATTTTAAGATTTTATCTGTCAGAAGAATGTTCTTCAGATCTAAATTTAAATGAAGATTTTAAAATTAATATTGCAGAAACACATACGTAGGTAATTAAAGCCAGATTTGATTTCTGGTGGTTTAAAGAACAGCCTGAACAGAGTTTTCATGCTTTGTAAGATGAACAATATAAATATAAGCAGATTTCCTTTACGCCTTTTAGTGCTGCATACCACCTTTTAAGCAAATGCTTGTAGTACTCGTTATTTAAGTAGATTGCTCATCGTGCACTTCAGACATCAGAACAATGAATTAAGAAAATTCAGCTGGATTATGATACTTTAGCAAATATAGGGTGCGGCAGCGTTCATAGTAGGATATTAAAATCATACCATAAGGCAGACATTGCCGACAGCAGTTCTGATGCGATCCTTCAACTCAGGAATGGTGGCACAACGTATTCGGAAAACTTCTTGGTTCAGGTGGCCCCAAAGGAAAAAGTCTGCACATGAAAATCAGGTGAGCGAGGCGGCCAGGAAATGTCACCAAAACGGGAAATTACTCTACCTGGAAATGTCTGTCGCAATGTTCCGTCCATTTGGAACTTTCCCATGACGTCCATACCTGCCAACCTCTAAAGATAAAAATTCAGAAGATTTCTCCCCCAAATTCAGAAGATTTCTCCAAAATTCAGAAGAACACGAAGAATTAATATCATGCTTTGATATTAAAAAAAATAACAATTTATACAAATAGAAAAAAAAAGAAAATTGTACTTATATTAGTAAATCTCAATTAAGTAGTAACTAAAAAATTTATTAGGAAACATAAAACAAGAACTTAATGTTACACAAAAAAGTTATTGCAATGAATTTAGAGTGCATTTTTTGGCCTTAGCCAAAAATTCTTTGGAAAATTTCCGGTCATAACACTTAGTTTCCTCATAACATTTAGCAATAAAATGTTTTCTAGAGTTTGAAGTTCTAGAATTTGAAGATCGAAACATAGTTTTGTTTTTCTTCACAACACTGAAGACTCTCTCGCACTCAGCATTACTGTGTGGAATTACGAGAATAGCACATAAAACTCTTGCTAGTCTATCATATTTTGGTGTTACATCAGCTCTTTTTATTCTTTTTAAGGTACCAACGAGAACATCAAGTCTATCTTCTCCAGAACTGGCAAAGTCTTCAAACTGTGCAGCAGAAAATTGGCTCTGTAGTTCATCTAAAGCATTATTGTGGCATTCATTTTCTTTAATTGTTAACAAAAATGGAAATTTATCAATAAAAAAACGAATTTTTTCAAAAGATGAATTTTCAATTTGTTTCAAATTTGCCACTTCGGCATTTAAAAGCTTTTTCTGCTGCCAAATTAATTAAGTGGCATGGGCATCCAATAACAGTTAATTCATTTTGTTCTTTTTTGAGGAAAGAGGCTACACCCTTTTTGTCACCCACCATGACATGAGCATTATCTGCACCAAATGAAATGCAGTTTGATATTGGGATGTTAAGTTGTTTCAACTCATTAATTACCAAGGAGGCAATATTTTTCCCCGTAGTGTCTCCATTTAACAATGGAAGACGCAAAAGATGAGTTTTCATTTCATCAGAAACATCACAGAAATATGTGACAACGATGGGGTAAAGCTTCCAATCGCTGTCGTTGCTGCCATCGATTGACACCGAAAATGCTGAATTCTGGAGTGCAGCTATCGTTTTACTTTGTGCATCGCAAGCAATTTCGTTCACAATAAAAAGATGTTTTCGTGCGAGCACAAGCATATTTCTGAGGAGGAAATCTTGGAGTCGCGAAAACATCCGACTGAAAAAAGTTGGGAGCTACTTTGGTAGACGGTTGCACGGAATTTGGCGATTTTTCTTTTGGCGAGTAATACAAACTTATGGTAAACCCATTGCTGGATAAGTTATTTATAGTAACCGATACTTTGTTGTCATTTTATTAAAAAAAATAATGTGTTTTATTATGCATAACTTCCGTGTTTTAAATATTATTTATGGCTTCTAAATATTAAAAATCAATTTAATTTTACATTTTTATTTGAAATAAAAAATTTTGTTGTTTATAATATTTTATATAATTTATGTTGTGTATGATGTAATCAATGACATCACCTTACAAAAGTAATTGGTTTTATTAATATCTATAAATTTAATCTTTTGTTTTAAACATTATTTATGGCTGTTAAATATTAAAAATACAATTTAATTTTGCATTTGTCTTTAAAAATGATTTATATATGAAGGATTGTTTTAAATAATTTTAATTCTATGCGTGATGTAATCAGCTCTCTGATTGGTTACTGAATATTTGTGCATTACCACACCATTTTAAAATTTTATTATTCATCTCTTCGAATTCCTCAGATTTCAAATGGAATGGATATCTCCCGTTTCGAAGGAGAGATGTTGTCATTGGTAATACCAAGAATTATTGGTATTGGAATAAAAAAATTGCCCTTTGAGACCTTATTTTGGCCAAACCTGTCTTTCCTAATCAAAGATTTATTATAAATTGTTAATAGCGTCAGAGGGAAATTTATTTTAAATTTTTGACGGAAACCTCGCTAATTGCTTCTTCAATGAAAGTGCGAGATATGTGAATAACAGATGAAGATGGTTAAAAGAGCCGATTCAATTATGATTTCGATTTTTTTTTTGTGGTACTTATCAATAAATAGAGCTTAAATTACTCAAAAAAATGTAAGTACAATTTTTCTTTATTTTATAATTGTATACTTCAATTTGGTGTTAAAAAAAATTAATACACTATTTTCAAAATTGCTGAGATAATTATTGTCACACTGTTTTAATGTTAATTATATTTATATAACGTATTTTGGTCTAATCCTAGTATCCGGTGCACACGGGATTTGGCTACTTTTGGCGACTTTATGATAAGCAGCAAAAACGGGACAAACACACGATTTACTTTTTGTTTTAATTTTAGAGCGGTTGTGAATGGATTATAGAACACGATGATGTAATAATACAAAACACTATTTCTAACATTACATTAATCAGTACAAAAACGCATTTTGGTTTATCCTAGTATCCGGTGCATACGGGATTTGGCGACTTTATGATGAGCAGTAAAAACGAAACATATACGATGAGTAGTAAACGGGTCATTCAAAGAATGTATATAGTTATACATAGTTATATAGTATGTATGTAGTGAGTATATAGTATATACATAGACGTTTCTTTGGGTCATTTTTGGTGTTGGCGATAATTTTCAAAATCGCGCCAAGGCTGCACGTATACTAGGATTTTACCCGTATTTTAAAGTATTTGAATTTAATAATATTCTAATTCTTTTTAAATGTTGGTAGGATAGTTTATTTTTTTTATTCGATATTCAATTTCAGTAATATTTTAATCTAATTAAACGTTGGCACAATGTTTTACAGCGGTGTTTTTATTCTCTTTTTTGCTATATGAAAGTAAAAGGGCCTTACTTTAGTACTTTATACTCATAGTAAATGTATTTATTTAAACTTGCCTGCCATCTTACGACATTTTCAAAAAAAATTAATCCATTACTTTTAACGGAATTTTAAAGTTTCGAATACTTTAATGCGGATGTCGAAAAAGCTGAGCGCGCTGAATCGAAGCGAAAAAAAAATCTGCTGCGCTAAAACAAAAAAATAAGATCTGGCGCCTAAGAGAGAAACCAGAGAAGAAAAAAGCGCCAGGACTAAAGATCTATTTATCCCTGGTTCAGCGCATTGGATTGGCTGGTTAAGCGGCGAGTTGTGAGAAACCGCAGGTTACTGGATTTGAAGTAGTCGGTAGTTGGCGGTAAAACACGATGCAATTGGCAAAAATCGCTGAAATGGCGAAAAATTCTAAAATTTCGACAAAAATCACTGAAAACACTTGAAGAAGGAAAAAAATCGTAAAAAATGGATTACGATCGTAAAGACAAACACATTTTCGTAAAAATTACGAAAAATTCGTAAAAGTTGGCAAGTATGGACGTCCCAAGTTGGATTGTTGCCGAAATAGACGCTGGGTAGCAATAACAAAGTAGTTATTCTTGAAATAACTTTCAACAGCAAAGGCACGATGCTGTGCACTCCACCGATCCATATCACTGTCACACTAGAAATGGCAGCTCATTAGCGGCACGAGCTGGCACGCATTCATGCAGTACGTGATTGTTCTACGCAAGTCAAATTACGTTATAAACGCTGCCGCACCCTATAGTAATAATGGTTTAGAGATACTTGAAAATCTTAGAATAATTAGTATGGGATCTTTGTGTTATTTCGGAAGTTAAAACTGGATTTGCCATTTACTTTCAATATGAGCAATGATTGGATATCATCAAATATATGATATGTTATCGTCAAATATACGATATCGTTTCTCACTGAAAAAGTGCCAAATAATTAAGCACGTTGCACTATGTTTCATTATGCATGCCTATACCTTAGAAAAGGGGGGGCGGATACATCTTATAATTTGATTTTTAACATAAATTGATGTTTTTTCCTACCTGAGTAATTTGCTGAATTTTGTCTTTCTGTAGGAACAGCTTTCACATTTTTCATCTGATTATATATATTAACGAACACGTTGCGTAGATTTACAGCACTCTTTGCATAACACTCTGCCAGATTTTCTACTTCCTCTTGAATGCAATTTGAAGAATTTCCATTGAGAAAGTTTCTGCTGGACTTTGGGATATGATAATCACCAGCATTCGAATAATCAGATTCGTCAGCTTGCTCTGAAATATCAAAAAAATCTCTATAAAACACATTTCCTGAAGCTGCACTTTTGGCATGGCAAAAGGAAAGCTGGCTAATATAGCCTTGGGAAAAGGTTCGAGTCTTAGAGAAGACATGGATGTTTGTAAGGGTATAGTGCCTTTGCAGCACAGGGGAGCTTAAAATACTGCAAAATTGAAGGTCCTATGGAAAATTTGGTAGAGGAAGAGGAATGGGAGAGCTTGGCAAAATCGCATTGTCACCTATAAGGAATTGAAGGCCTAAGCCACTGACAGATTGGCTTAAGCCTCAGACAGGATAAAAGTCATGGCCTTGCTCTGATGTTATCATCAGACATTGAGATATGTCACAATAACAGATTTATTGTAAATGATGGGAAAATTTTAAGTTCATATACATATAGTTAATCATTTTCTGCATTTGTAATCTCTGAACATAATAAAAAAAAGATGAGAATAAAATAACACACATGTAACATGCATGAATATATAAAATTCCAAAAAATGGAAACAAATTTTCTTTAAAGGGTATTTTAAATAACACAGCATTTCTAAAATACTAACGAATAACTTCTTTTGTAATCTTAGAATCATGCCAAATGACCAAATTATCATTAAAGAAATCATATTGAATTAGAAATCATATTGAATTATTTTGACACAAAATTGGATTTTTCCTTGAAACAATATACCAATTTTTTCCCCATATTTCGATTCTACCTTTCAAATTATGCTCAAATGGTAGATTTTTGAGAAACTTACTAAGAAATTGCAAAACATGTTTTGGCGCATTTTTTTCAGTTTCCGCCAAGAATATTACAGTTGACGAAATTCTTAATTTGTGGTAACCGTCTTTTCCCTTTCACGAGTGTATGAGCGGAACAAAAAGTACATCGTTCATCCTTTAAAGTAATTTTAACAAAATGAGTAAATCATACTATTTCGCGTTATTATAAAAAATATATGCCAAATTTCAAAACGCACCAATATATAAATTCACGTGTACCTTCGGAAATTTCGAAAAATAAATTTTATTTTTTTACAGATGCGCCGAGAAATACATCTACTTTAATAAGATGATGGCAAAAATGTTATAGTCTATAACTCAATTTTTTTGAAAAATTTATAAAAACTACTACAAAATACAAATTTAAAAATAAATCAGAAAATAGCTGCTAATTTTACTTGGAATGAACCTTGATTTCCACCTGTGAAAGAGTGGGTGTTGAGTTATGGCAAAGCACACGAGGGCTATCTACCTAAGGGGAGGGATGCCTTCGCGGAGGGCTTTCTAGGGAAAACTGGCTCGTATACACGTTACACATGGGGAAAACCACGAAAACGCCCATGCAGCCAGCCCGTTCGCGAGATTCGAGCCTCGGACCGAACTACCAGTGTTCAGCGACTTTACCGCTCGGCCGCTGGTGGGCCCCAACTGTGAAAGAAGTATTCCTGTAACTTTAATAAAAACAAGTAATATATATTTAAAAAAATTAAAGTCAATTCCTACTTGGGTCAACAAAGAAAAATTTTATTTTAGTTACTTTTTATTAACAGTATTAAATTTTTTTCGTTTGTAATTTATGAAGCTGATGTGGTCTATAATATCTCATTCTATATATATCTTGTAATGCTTCGTTATTGCAAGGCATCTTTCCAGTGAGTTTCAAGCAGTCCAGCTCTTTAATTTATAATCCATCTAATGATTTCACACGACTCAAGGCGATATATACTTGACCTGCTGCGAAGTGTTTTCGTAAGAAGCTTTTCTTCTTATGTTTTTCTTTCTCTAATCGTCGCTTCCTTTGTGTTAAAGTTTCTCTGTTTGTGAAGCAAGGGACATTTTAAAGGGTTATATTTTAAACATATATTATTATCACGTTAACATAGAAATATGGGGAGAATTTTCGCTACATAATGGGACACTACGTCCCCTTCATCCAACTCTATAAAACTACAATTCTTTAACTCCATACACTTTAAAAATCTTTAGAACTCTGCCTTACTGTTGCCACTTATTTTTGTTAAATATTACAATCCCATTTATCACAGTCATGTCCTATTATTTAGAAGTCGTTATAAAATTAATTTTTACAGAACGTGAGAATTCCTAATAAACGGTCATTACTTGTAAGTCTTATAATATATTTAATAAAAGCAGCATATCTTTAGTTCCGATAAACATGAATAAATAAGTAGAAATTGACGTTAATATGTGAAATAACTGTATTATCATCAAGTGTCATCCACTACAAGTTTAAAAAATGTATTTAAACTTGAGTGGATGAATAAAAACTATTTTATTAACGAGTGAAAATTTGAACAAGATGTAGGAAGAGTGTGAGCTAATGGTAGGAATTTAAAACGAGAAATATATACCAAATTCAATTAATATTGAGAAGCTAAAATTTTGAGAACTAATACTTTAAAAACTATTCGTGCAACTTTTGCAAAACCTAGCACTTTGGCATAATTTGAGTCGTAGAATCGAAATATGAAAAAAAAAAAAAAATAGATCTTCACCCACTAATAATTTCATAATTTTACAAGCTTAAATATTAACCAGTCAAGATGAAACATGCTACTAATTTCTCAACCGTAACTCGAATCACTTTAAACTCAACTTTTCTCTCTTACATGTCGCTTTCTCACTCTTGCTTGCTGTCCTGCCAACATTCTGCAGCTTACCTTTCTTTCTTAAATCGTATTATCATTGATAAAGCGCAAAAAAATAAACAATTGGTGTACAAATTGCGCCCATTAAGATGAGTAATTCCTTTTTAGATTGTGCTTCTCAAGAATAAAATCATATGTGTGAAATCCGTCTCTACAACATTAACATTTTTTATCCTCTAAGTCTATCAGTAACTCTTCGTAAATCATATTCTCTGCTCTGCTGCAACATAAGTTCTAATTCATCCCCCACACACGTACTTATAAGGTGATTCATAATTCTCCCCACATTTTTCCCCACAAGGTTTGTAGTACAATAGATAAAAAAAGTTTAGAACTAGATTAGACTCTACACTGTTTAAGCGTAGATGGCTATTATTTCTTTAAGTAACAAAGTGTGCTAAAACTTTTTATTGAATACTGGTTTCACAAATTATTTTCCTTCATCAGGCATTATTGTGTCTGCAAATGAGGCATAATAAAAAAGTTTTCTATTTTAAATGCAGTGCAGAATTTTTTTTTTTTTTTTTTTTTTAAGAAATGATTGAAATGGAAATGAACCTAAAAGGAATTTGTTTTTATCATCATACCTGAGAAATAGCAAGACAAGGAAGATGAATAGAAATCGTTGTCATCACTTGCTCTCATAATTTCATTAAGCTCCTTATTGTTTGGTTCCACAAAAACAAAACTGTCATCGGATGCATCTGAAAAACTAAAAGACGCAGTTAATAATCGAAATACTGATTTTAAACTAAACTAGATTAGACACGCAGAGTGAGACAACAGCTGTATACCATAGGAAATTAAAATGGACTGGTACTGAATGGTATCTAATAAGTTATTACTAAATTAATTGAATTTATACACAAACAGACCATTAACAGTCAGTTATAAATGAAATGCAGCTAAGAAGCAATTATAAATCATTTTCAAATGGCATGACGGGAAAGAAGGAACAGTTGTTCTCCTTCATATACAATAATGATCTTTTGTTCCTTAAGAAAATTAGAGAACTGCACAATCTTGGCATTGTTCTTATTAAATATTATATAAAGGGTGTTTCAGCAATTCCTTCACAAACTTTCCAGAAAGAGTACACAGAGTACACATCTTCCAGGAAGACAAGAGTTCAGAAGACAGAGAAACGAAGGACACGAATAGGGTGAGAAAACAGCATAATAGACATGTTTTCTCACCCTATTCGAGTCCAGGCCCGTCCACACGAGGACGCTCCCGACGTAGTTGACGTAACTTTTTTGACGCCGGCGTAAATTCGCAGGACGCAGAAGACGTAAAACTGAGTACGCTCCTGTTCAGCTTTTTCGCCCGCGACGCGCGCGTATAGCCAATAGCCGACAGAGTTCTTATCACGTGTCATAATCAGAAAACCTTCTTGCTTACCCGTTTCAATATGGCGTCAGAGCCACACAGAGATGAGTTTTTGCTTAGAAATATAAATGTATACATCAATAAAATAATCAGCATTGTTCACGCCATCTTCAGATTTCTCAAACCGTACATATTAGTATACATTTAAAATTCACATTAAAGGGGAAAACTGTATACTTATAAAGCAATGATCCGACCACTATATCCATATGCTTCACCTATTTATAATACCGTAAGTAATAGGAACCTAAATAAATTAAAGTTTCTGCCTTACAAAATTCTCCTTAATTATTATAAATATTGGCTATATCATGTGTAATAAAAAGCTCTATAAATATCCCAATATTAAATACACCAAAAACTAACTTCAGCAATATAATAACTTCTAAAATAAAGCAGTTGACTGTGAAAGAGTATTCAATAAAATACAATTACGAAATTTTGAAGGAAAGTTACAACTTGTGTCATACAGCAATCATTTATTTAAGTTTAATTAAATTACCTTTGCAGCGACTACTACTTGTTACATTATTTTTCACAAATGCTGCTATCAAAGATAGCTGAGTGGTCAGGGCGCTGCTTTGGCGGCGGAGGAATGGGAAGGTGGCAAGTTCGAACCTCACCCGTAGACGGGGTAATTCAATTAGCTTCTTTCATTTTGAAACGTGTTTGTTATATTTAATCATGAATCATTATATTCTTATTTTACCTATTATTATTGTTTTCATTTCTTATTTTATTTATTATTATTATTGTTTTTAATTTAGTTTTTAAAAATGTGCAGTGCAAA